AGTCTGGGTGACAGAGTGAGACTCCAACTAAAAAATAAATAAATAAATAAATAAATAAAAAGGAGCTTGCAAATCAACAACCTAACTTTATATCACAAAAAACAAAAAAGAAAAAGAAATTAAACTCAGAGATAGCAGCAGGAAGAAAATAAAGACTAGAGCAAAGATAAAGGAAATTGACAAAAGGAGAAAAAATGAAAGCAAAAGTTGGTTCTTCAATAAGGCTAAAACTAACAAGCCTTGAACCACACTAAGAAAAAAAGAAGAATCAAATTACTAAAACCAGAAACAAAGTGCACATATTACTATCAATTTTACAGAAATAAAAAGTATTGTAAGAGATTTTTTTTTTTTTTGGAGTCAGAGTTTCACTCTGTTGCCCAGGCTGGAGAGTAGTGGCACGATCATGGCTGGGACTACAGGCACGTACCACCACACCCAGCTAATTTTTAAATTTTATTTTAGAGATGAGGCCTCACCATGTTGACCAGGTGGGACTTGAACTCCTGGGCTCAGGCAATTATCTTGCCTCAGCCTCCCAAAGTGCTGGGATTATAGGTGTGAGCAACTACTCTGGGCTTTTTTAAAGATATGCTGGCAAGGATGTGGGATGTGGAGAAAAGAGAAGGTTTCCACACTGTTGGTGGGAGTGTAAACTAGGACAACCTCTGTGGAAAACAGTGTGTCAACTCCTTAAAAGAGCTAAAAATTGACCTTCCATACAACCCAGCAATTCCCCTTCTGGGAAGATACCCAGAGTAACTCAAATCATTCTACAAAAAATATACCTGCGCACCCATGTTTACTGCAGCACTATTCACTATAGCAAAAACATGGAACCAACCATGCTGCCCACTGAAAGTGGACTGGATTTTTTAAAAAGTACATATAGATGATGAAATATTACACAGCCATAAAGGACAAAATTAGGCAAAGGCAAGAGGATTGACTGAGCCTGCAGGTTCGAGAACAGCCAGGCACCTTGTCGAGACCTCATCTCTACAATAAAATAAAATAAAAAACTAGCTGGGCGTGGTAGTACACGCCTGTAGTTCTGGCTACTTGAGAGGCTGAGGCGGAAGGCTCGCTGGAGCCCTGTGGGTCGACACTGGGGTGGCCGTGAGTGTGCCACTGCACTCCAGCCTGGGCGATAGTGTGAGACTACGACTCAAAGAAATAAAAATAAAAATAAATATATAAAATAAAAATGACTCACTTCTTCAATCTAAACAGGAATAAAATGACAAGTTCACGTTAAAAATTTCTGTTTCACTGAGTATATATTTTTACCTTATATATATTTACCTGGAATCAAGAGAAGCAAAAACTTGATCAAATTGCTTCTCCACAATCTCTATAACACTTTCTGTCTCCTCTCTTGTTTGCTTCTGAATGTGCTCAAGCATCTGGGAAAAACAACACAAAGACTTAATTTGGAACTTTAGTAGAAGCTGTAGGAATTTCAAAGTAAAAGGTATTTCTAGACTTTTTTTTTTTTTTGAGTCAGAGTCTCACTCTGTCACCCACATTGGAGTGCCGACCTCAACCTGCCGGGCTCCGGCGATCCTTCCGCCTCAGTCTTCCAAGTAGCTGGAACTACAGGCACGCACTACCACGCCTGGCTAACTTTTTTATTTATTGTAGAGATGAGGTCTCGCCAAGTTGCCCAGGTGGGTCTCGAACCAGCGGGCTTAGACAATCCACTCACCTCAGCCTCCCAAGGAGCGGGATTACAGGCTGAGCCACTGAGCCCGGCTTAGACATTTTAAAATAACAACATAAGAGGTAATTAGAAGATAATAAGTACGGTAAGTCACAAGGTTTGGCTTTGTATCTTGCTGCCTATCACCAAAACCACATCCTGTTGGCATTTTCTACTCATAATGTGGCAAAGAATCCACTGGTAAATTTTCTAATTTTTTTTCTTCCCACTTTTTATCATTACAAAAACAAGTTATTTTAGATAGCTGAATTTCCCTTTGGCAGGATTCCCTAGATTAAAAATATCTTAGAAACCATACTTGAATTAAAGTGTAAACTATTACACATATTTCTTTGTATTTTTAAATAGTTTAAACTACTGTTGCTTGGGATTCATGATCCCCTTTTCCCCTCCAATTTCTCCCTTTAAGAATGGGAATGTTTCTGGGTGCGGTGACTCAAGCCTGTAATCCCAGCACTTTGGGAGGCTGGGGCAAGAGGAATGCCTGAGCTCAGGGGTTTGAGACCAGCTCGGGCAACCTGGTGAGATCTCGTCTCCACAATAAATCAAAAAATTAGCTGGGCATGGTGGTGTGTGCCTGCAATGGCCATGAGTGTGCCACTGCACTCCAGCCTGGGCAACAGAGTGACACTTCTACTCAAAAAAATAAAAATAAAAATAAAATAAAGAACGGGAATGTCTCCCCTGTGCCTGTTTCACCAACATATTTCAGAAGCAATGCCTTCTTTTTTATTTTATTTTATTTTTTTTTGAGTCGGAGTCTCACTGTTGCCCAGACTGGAGTGCAGTGGCCGCTCCCGGCCACCGCAGCCTCGACCTGCTGGGCTCCGGCGATCCTTCCGCCTCAGCCTTCCGAGTAGCCGGAATTACAGGCATGCGCTACCACGCCCGGCTGATTTTTTGATTTATTGTAGAGATGAGGTCTCGCTGCCCAGGTGGGTCTCGAACTCACGGGCTCAGGCAGTCCACTCACCTCAGCCTCCCAAAGGCGCAGGATTACAGGTTGAGCCACCGAGTCCGGCTTAGCAATGCCTTCTTGTCTGATTTCACAGGTTCACAGTTGGAGGAGGATTTTGCCCCAGGATGAAATCATATCCTGAGTCTCACCTCTACCTGACTTAGAAGATGAGATTTTATACTTAGAATTGATGCTGGAATGGATTAAGACTTTGGGGGATGCTGGGATGAAGTGGATACATTTTGTATTGAGAAGGACATGAATACTGGGAGCCAGAGGTTAGTATGCTTTGAGTTAGATTATATCCCCATTCCAAAATCAGATGCTGAAGTCCTAACCTCCAGTTAGTTTACCACTGATTTGCTCTTCTGCACTGTATCTGGTACTTTTAACTGTTTCTTGTCACAAGTGACATTCTTTTTCCTCTTCTCTCACAGTGTTTTAATTTCCTCTCATAACTCTATGTTATTTTTATCATATTTCTCATTCCTCTTGAGAAACTACTGTTTGTTTTTGAGTTGCAGTCTCCCTCTGTCGCCCAGGTTGGAGGGCAGTGGCACGCTCACAGCCACCACAGCCTCGACCTGCTGGGCTCAGGTGATCCATCCACCTCAGCCTTCCAAGTAGCTGGAACTATAGGCGTGCGCTATCATACCCGGCTAATTTTTTGATTTATTGTAGAGATGAGGTTTCACCAAGTTGCCCAGGTTGGTCTTGAATCCCTGGGCTCAGGCAATCCTCTCACCTCGGCCTCCCAAAGTGCTGGGATTACAGACTTCAGACACCGCACCTGACCTGAGAAACAACTTTGGGCAGTGACTTTTAGCCAGTCCAAAATCTCCTGTCCCTCTATGCAAAATAGTAGCCACAGCATAATCAGTTATAACCTTTTGAACTCCCTGATTGTAAATATGTTGTTGTTGGGTGCTGAAGACTGATTTTTGTCACCAAATGAGTCTCTCTTTTGGGGGATAGAGCAGGGAGAAGAGAAAGTATGATTCTCTCAGGAGGAGGATAGAGCCAAACAATATGCAAATGTTGGAAAGATAATCTGCAACATTTCTAAGACAAAATTCAGCTCATAGTAGGTAAAAGTCATGGTTCCCTATTAAAGCTCCAATTTTATAAGGTTCCCAGCACAACAATGCTACAAGGCCAATCTTCGCAGTCCATAGGACAAATTTTCCATTCTTTTCTATGTTTCTCTATTATTAGATTATCATGCTCCAAAGAAAGTTCTAACCTCAGTAATAACACATCCAAATGTACACATTTAAAGAGGTCATGCTGGCCGGGTGCAGTGGCTCAAGCCTGTAATTCCAGCACTTTGGGAGACTGAGGAGAGAGGATCACTGGAACTTGCAGATTAGAGACTAGCCTGGGAAACATGGTGAGACCTTGTCTCTACGATAAATCAAAAAATTAGTTGGGTGTGGTAGCATGCGCCTGTAGTTCCGGCTACTTGGAAGGCTGAGGCGGAAGGATCACCAGCACCCAGCAGGCCGAGGCTGAGTGAGACTCAAACTCAAACTAAAATAAAAGAGGACATGCTGAATTTCATGATAGAATTTAATCATTCAAAATGCTTACTTTTCCAGTGATACTTAATTGTTCAAAATTATAGTCTGCTATCTTCAATGCTTCATCAATTTCTTCTGTAGTTTTAGTGTCCTGAGAAAGGAAGGGAAACATACAAATATAAAACATAAATACAGATGCTTGGATACATTATATTATAATTGCAAAAAATTCAAGCTACCATTTTGGCTACAAAAGCAACACAGAATCACTACAGAAAATCAAAACAAGCTGGGCTCGGTGGCTCAGCCTGGGCCAGTCTGTTTGTTCTATTTCTAATTGTCAATTAAAACAATACATTATTTGAAGTTATCGGTGTTGTACCAGATAAAATTCAATCTTCAACAACAACAAATATAGCCAGGCATTTTTCACTGGAAAAGTCACATTTAAAATTTAGAACTTATACTTTATATGTTTCATAGAATCTGGATTCAAAAACCAGGTTTAAAGGGAAGAAGCTACATACAAGTAAATATCAAAAGCTTTTTTGAAAGAGTTGGTCAAAGGAAGAACAGGCTGCCTTGGGAAGAAAAGAGAATTGCCCAAGTGTAGAGCAAAACGAGAGATTTAACTAAGGAGAAAGGGCATATTTTGGTTATCTTCAAGCTTCCAAAAGAAGCTATAGAAACCTGGACAGCAGAAGAAAGTCAATCTACTGGAGACATGGTGCTCATACTTCACCAACGGTCATGAAGTACTTTATGCTGACATCACCGCTGATGAGTGCAGAACAGTCCTATGTGTGGAGGTTAAACAGTCTACACCAGTAGTTACCTGATCGGCAGTCTTCTGAAAGTTCTGAGAAAAATTCTTTATCCTGAAAAATGTCAAGTACTTATTTTAAATACCAACATTAATGTGAGGAGTTTAATCCTCTATCCTCTATCAAAACTAATTTGTATTATGACTTATAACATATACAGTGGGTTCTCAATTATGTATAAGGAGAAACTGTAAGTAAACATGGCTTCATAAAAACTTACTAATAAAAAATTGAACTTAACAAATTTCTAAAAATAATAGCTTAAAGTACATGTTCTGTTGTAATGTTTTTTTTTTTGTTGTTGTTGTTGTTGTTGTTGTTTTAGAGACAAGGTCTTACTCTATTGCCTGGGCTATAGTACAGTAGCTCTATCATAGTTCACTGTAACCTTGCTCTCCCGGGCTCAAGCGCCTCCCAAGTGCTGGGACTACAGGTGAACCACCACACTCAGTTAATTCAATTTTTGTTTTTGTACATACAGGGTCTTGGTATGTTCCCTAGACTGCTCTTGAACTCATGGCCTCAAGTGATCCACCACAGCCTCTGATTTAATTACTTCTCTTTACTTGATAAGGTATAGATGTTGATAATCACTGAAATATCTTAAACTTGTCAATTAAAGTAAACACTTATAAACAAATGCCAGCTATTTAAAAATGTACCTGTAAGTCTGGATAATTTACAAAAGGTAATAAATTTAATTAAGCAAGTTAACTGCAAAGAAAAAGTAAGTTACATTTGCCTGTCTATAGAAGCCAGTTTTATGTATTTTTATCTTTATATCATATTGACTAGCACACAATAAAATGTTTACTAAGAAGTTAACTATAAGCTATCGTCTATGTAAGAAACTATGATGTTAAGTGTGTTACTCATATAGAGAAAAATACTACACCAAATAATTTTTAAACATTCTACTGGATGGGCGTAGTGGTTCATGCCAGTAATCCCAGCACTTTGGGTGGCTGAGGTGAGAAGATTGCCTGAGACCAGCCTGGGCAACTTGGTGAGACCTCATCTCTACAATAAATCAAAAAATTAGCTAGGCATGATGGTGTGTGCCATAGTTCCAACTACTGAGAAGGCTGAGGTGGAAGGACTGCCTGAGTCCAGCAGGTTGAGGCTTCGGTGGCTATTTATTAGCATGCCACTGTACTCCAGCCTTAGCGACAGAGTGAGACTTCGGCCGGAAAAAAAAGAAAAGAAAAAAACATTCTATTACTTTGAAAAGTTAATATTCGCCGGGCTCGGTGGCTCAGCCTGTAATCCCGCACCTTTGGGAGGCTGAGGTGAGTGGATTACCAGAGCCCGCAGGTTCAAGACCCGCCTGGGCAGGCGAGACCTCATCTCTACAGTAAAATTAAAAAATTAGCCAGGTGTGGTAGTGCGCGCCTATAATTCCGGCTACTTGGAAGGCTAGGTGGAAGGATCACCGGAGCCCAGCAGGTCGAGGCTGCAGTGGCCGGGAGCGACCACTGCACTCCAGTCTGGGCGACAGAGTTAGACTCCAACTCAAAAAAAAAAAAAAGAAAAGTTAATATTCATGTTCTTGAAAATATAAATGCATTAGCCCTGAGAATTCCATCATTCAATTCCTGTTTCAAAATATTAAGCCAAGTACAGTGACTCATGCCTGTAATTCCAGCACTTTGGGAAGTCAAGGTGGGAGGACTGCTTAAGCCCAGGAATTCAAGACCAGCCAGGGCAACATAGTGAGACATTGTCTCTACAAAAATAGAAAAGAAAATTATCTGGGCTTGGTGGTTAAACTTTACCATTCTCAACTACTTGGGAGGATGAGGTGGAAGGATCACCTGAGCCTGGGAGAAGGAGGCTGCAGTGAGCCGTGATCATGCCATTGATAAATCAGTAAGGAAATACTTTATGAGTCATGAGACACTATAATGTAAAAATATGCAACTATTTTATTGTTTTGTTTTTTTTGAGTTGGAGTCTCACTGTTGCCCAGACTGGAGTGCAGGGGCTGCTCCTGGCCACCGCAGTCTCGACCTGCTGGGCTCCAGCAATCCTTCTGCCT